ACAGTAGTTGTCTTGTAGAATCTGCATTGACTTTTCTTTTGAACTTCACCATTGTGCTAAAATCAGACCAACCTTCACTTATTGACTGCTGCTTTTAGGCCAGCTTTGGCTCCAGTCCTGCAGGGATGGCACAGCATGCTCTCTGGAGGGCTGATGTGCATCACTAAATACTTCTATTTTGGAAGAAGCCTTTCCTGAATCTCTTAGGTTAAATTAATTTGAATGTCCTTTCACTAATTACAGTTTTCCGTGTCATTGCTATAAAAAGATTTTTAGGGAGAAGACTTGGAAGAAGGAAGTCCTCAGATGTTTGGGTTTTTTAGGGAAAAACTGAAACATCATTCCCTAGGGGAAAGACATTTACAGTGTCTGGGTTGACTTCTTCCAGACTACTGCTTAGCTGAGAAGTAAAACCAGCTGTGAGGTGTGAAAGTGCTGCCTTACATATTCTCTTTGTGTATGTATATTCTTACTACTGATTTGAACTCTTACAGATACAGAAGAAAACTCCTGATCAATGAATTTGCAAGAGAAAGGAAGTCCTCCTCTGGAAGGTAGGTTAAATTTCTAGCTTAGCTAAGGAAATTCCTGACACTGAGTCTGAATTCTCATGTGTACCACGTTGCTTCTTAAAGTGCTCAGTTTGAAACTGTTCATCTTAAAAGTCTGCTCCAGCATGAGAGTTCAGTAACATTCCAACCCTAGATCTGGAGTTTTAATGTGTTTCTTAATAATCATCTACATGTTGATTTGTCTGAGTGTTGCTTGTTTTCTAATAGTCCCAAATCTACCATGTTTTTTTTTTGTAGTTCTGACTCAAAGGAGTCCACTGTGACAGTAGAACTGGAGACAGATGAAGTGGTTTTGATGAGAAGACAGAAACAGATAAACTATGGAAAAAACACAATTGCATATGATAGATACATTAAAGAAGTTCCTAGGTAAGCTGCTGAGTTTCTAGAAAACTAACCATTTGAGTTTGTCATACTTGTTCTGGCTAAGCATCTTAATGTACTAGACTTGATACCTGAGACATGTTCAAATAGAAGGCATCTACAAATTCAACTTTCAAAGACATTTTTAACTAATGTCACACTAACAATCAAATAAGATGGGGATTTTAGTTCTTTTGGTTGTGCTTGTTGACTAGAGGAAATTAAACTGCTTTTTGCAGTCAGTTTTCTTATTGGTAAACTAAAAGACAGAATGGACTACAGTTGCTCTTTTAAGTGTGGAATGAGGTTTTCAGACTTATGAATCTTAATCCTTTGGGGGTTTTCTTGTTTTGTTTTTTTTTTCATTTAATTTGAAGACAGAAACTAAAAAGTTCATGTGGAGCTGACAACTTTTTACTTGAGTGCTTGAATTCTGCAGTAGCCCTTTCCATAAATAACTTAGAATATGCTGTGTTGTAAACAGTCTGTGTAGCAGGCAGTCTGTTTTAGCATTTAAAACAATATGTTATGCCTGTGTGGAAAAACACTAATGAATTTTTCATGTCTAATATCTGAACAGATCCCATCGTATACCAGGAGTTCATCCCAGAACTCCAAATAAATTTAAGAAGTACAGCCGCAGGTCGTGGGACCAGCAGATCAAACTGTGGAAAGTTGCATTGCATTCCTGGGATCCACCTACTGAAGAAGGATGTGATCTGCAAGAAATGTATGTAAACAGTAGCCAAGATACCCTTATAGAAGTTAATATCTAAAATCTCATGGTCAAACAAACAAAAAAGCTTCCACCCTCCCCCCCCAAGACAAACAAACAAAAAAAAACCACCAACCCTGCAGCATAGTCCTTCTGGAGACAAGTCACCAAGTGCTGAATGTTTTCCTTAGTTACTTGTCCATGCTTGGTGCTATTCAGTTCTTTCCAAGGTAAAATAGCTGATGGTTTTCTGGACGTAGTGGTGGGACTAGGCGTACTCGATGTCCTTCCAAGGCCATACATATATATCCCTTGCTGCTTTAACAAGTGTCCACTGGGTGAAATCAGAGCTCATTTGCAGTGCTCTGTAAAGGAAAGCACTACACTGAGCTGGTGGGGAGCAGTCTCTACATTATTAACCTGTGGTAGAAGCAATGGGGGAGAGTCCTCATGAATTGTCTGGTCTCACAAGTATTGAGCTTAGACCAACACAGTGTACCAGAACCTGCCTCATAGTCTTCTCACTTGCTAATTCAAGAACAGTGGTATAAATTCTTGTTTCTTGAGCAGAGAGGAGGAAAGAAGTACTTGTAAGAGCATCTGAAGGTACCATTAAATTAAAAGCATGGCCACAAGTGTTTGCAGTCCAAGCCAGTGTCATTCTGCTCTAGAAGATGGAGAATAACACAACTAGTTATTTTCCTCTATAGAAAGCAACAAAGCTCACCAGGGAACATCCAAAATAAAACAGATATTTAACTAATTCTTGAGGAAACAGTTTTGTGGTAATAAACTGTCTTTCCCCTAACAGTGATGCTGATTTCTAAAACCAATAGGGAGCAAGGGGATCTAAAATTTAAGGGCTTACTTTTGGCTTTCTGTGACTTGTAATCAGCTTGAGGGGAGTTGGTTTTTCAGCCTGAAGCCTACTCTGTGTGTTGGTGTTGCAATAGTAGTCTGGCCTCAGGTGCTGGGGTCTAATTCTCTGTATAGTAGATGTTAAATTTTATGTTACAAAACAAAGTGATGAAAACCTTGTCTGTGGCAAGTTGTTCTTGTTTGACCACCGTTTTCAGAACTGCACCTACAAAGCACAACTTGCTACTTAAACCAGAATTTATTTTAAGCTGTATTCTTATTTTACAGTAGTCCTGTGGACCTTGGTGAGATGGAGACAGAATCTGTTGGAAGCAACTCCGAATCTCAGACGAGCTGTCAAGATAATGATGTAAGCACATCTGCCATTTGTATAAATACTTGTTAATAATAGCTCCATTGCTTAAAGTTATATCCAGAGTAGCCTGAATACACAAGAAATTCCATAGTCTGCTGTGTTCAGGAATGATTTATAAAGCTGAGCAACCTTTGAATTCAGACACTTTCCCAGCTATAGCCAGTGTCTCTCTGTAGTCTGAGTTTATAGAGTTAGAACTTAAGTTTGTTGCCCATGTCAAATGACAAATACCTCATTTTTCATAGCCTGCAAAAGAATATTTATCTTTTCAAAGCATGTCTGTTATGAACTGTCATGTACAGTGGAAATACTACTTCAGACTGTAGTATCTAATGTTAAAATGGGATGTAATTTTCTTGGCACTCTCTGACTTCTTGAAGTAGGGTCTTTTTATATCCAGAATGCATTTAGTGCAGTTACTGAGCAGTAGCCTTCACTAAAGATCTAGTAATGTTTTTCTTACTGGATTTGTTTCTCTGATGAATATTGAATCTGTATAATGTTTTAATGTATGCATACATAGATCCTTAAAACATTTGCAAGAAATTAGAATGTGGTAGAATGGGCAGAAGCTGTCATTTAAATCTCTTTCAGTCTAGCTTTGAGCCTTTGGCCTTAAAAGTGTCTTTAAGCCTCTGTTATAGGGCAGTCTAAATGAATTACAGAAGTGAAACAGGTCACTGCATAACTAAACCCATAATTACCTGCTAATTATTAACTGCTTCTGTATTCCAGGATACCTGTTCTGGCACTCCCACCAAAGTTAAACATGTTGACTATCAAGCAGAAGGCGAATTTGACTTGGAAGTGTGCTTGAGTGAACCACTTAAAGATTTCAGTACAGTGAGTTAAATAGTCTGGTACAAACTATTTTAGAGAAAGTTTCTTTTAAATGTGAGCTGTTAGCCTGATTCATAAACTGTTAACAGTAAGAAAGTTTAAGCAAAGTTGAAAACTGTTGTATAAGTTGTGGTTGGTCACATATTCTCTGGACCAAACATGTAAAACTACAATGGTGTGACTTCTTTTAACTTTTAATTTATGTATATTGGATTTTTTTTTTTTTAAATAAAACCTTTTAATAGAAAAATTAGCCAAAGGCAGTGCTATCCTCAAGTCATTATAAATAGTTCAGCAAGCTCTTACTGTTCGTCCCCTCTCCCCAGACTTCATTGTGTGTAAGTTCAGCTGTCCACCTGGAGATAAAGAGCAAAGTAGGGAGATGCTCAAAAGTATCTGTATCTTGCTTTTCCATCTGGCTCTTCTACAAAGATCTGACTTGAAGCATTACCAGTGGTAGCTGAACCATGCTGCTGATAGGTACTAGTAAACTCATCTGCTGTACTTACCTAGCCTAAGATTAACTGCCTTACCTTTTTAAAAAACAGTCCTTGTTTTCAAAAACATTTGAGGCACAACTGGAAATTAAAAACTCTCAAGAAACTGGGGATCAATATGATAAAGCCTGGGCAGTAACGTGTCAAGAAGCAGCAGCAGCCTGAACTTGAAGTCTCTGAATAGTCACAAGTCATCTATAATACGATCAAGAAAACAATGTCTGGGGAAAGTGCTCGATTCTTTTTAATATGCTTATTTTCAGTGTAAAACTGTTGTAAATGATAAAGCTGTACAGATTTTCTACTGAAAGCAATTAACTGTTTATGTTTCTTTTGTATGGGTTGTTGCTGGAAAATAAACGGAATTGCCTTTACTTCTGACCCTTCATTTCCTGATGTTGCACGGATAACAAAATGCAGGAAAATACTGAAAGCTGTGTATCTGTCACTGATACTGATCCTGGGCTAGGATATGCCTGTGTTTGCACCATCCCCTGACTTTGAGGGAGACCTCAACAGGTAGTTATTTGTTTGCAGGCCACTGGAGTGAATTTAAGACACAATTATAATGGGTAAGCCTGTTGTGGACCTTTTGCAGACTCCTTAGAAGCAGTTTAGTTCAGTAGATGGCCGTTAGCTCGCTACCAAGTTCTGTTCTCTAGAAAAACTGCTGGATGAGCTAGGTGGGCACTGCAGACTTGTGTACTACACAGGACCTTTTGATAAGGTCACCTCACCTGGTTTTATCTCTAAAATGGAGCTTCTGAGTGTTGGTGTTACAACACTGTTAGGCTCAAAGAGACACTTTCCAACTCTTGTGGGTAACCTGCCTGCAAGCCACGTCACCAGCTATCAAATTGTTCAGGCACACTTACATTAAACCTGGTAGCTTGATCTGATGAGGAAACTTCCACGAAGCAGCAGTGGCACTGGGATGAGGTTGGAGCTATGCTCTGCTGTTAAGGAGACAGCATGTTTTTGTTTTTATAGAGAGGGAAGCAAAGTCATAATTTGTATTGCCTACTACTTGGAGTAGGTGCTCTCTGCCCCGCCCAGATTGGTTTTCTCATGACATGTTTTCTGGTCACACTGTCCCTGGTTGTTAAGTGTTTTTGTTGTGTAGTACCCAATTGCATCTTGAGCTGCAATGTGCTTTAGAACTTTTCTCCTATATTCCCCTCAATAAGAGTGGTCTTGAGCTCAGCCTGAATTCTTTTATGTCTAACTAGAATCATTGGATACCTTTACTTAAGACTTGTATATAATGGCTAAAAGGGGTTTAAAGTGGACTTTGCAGGTAGCACCATCACTGTTCAAGTGTCTTGGATTTTAATTTTGATGATAAGCCTAGCAGACGATTGCCTGTGCAGCTACTTGGGAATGCTGTTTCAAGTCATGGCTACTTACTATGTTAGATTTTTAATGGTTAATGCATCTAATTTGAGTCAGTCACTTAAAGCTTTACACAGTTCTCTCTGTGTCACTCAACTGTTAGTGACTGATGGTACTAAATTATTTCCAGAATAGTGTTTTTTGGGGAAAGTGTGTTACTTCTCAATGTTTTAAAGGTTAGCAGGAATAACGTGAAGCCAAGGACAAAATCATTTATGTCTTAAATAAGCTACAAATAGTTCACACAGCTGAACATCAGTCTAGAATAAAGTATTAAATGACGTGTTTCTCCCTGGTGTGAAATGAATATGGTGAGCTTTGTAAAAACCTACATATTGCATGCCTGGAAACTAGTATTTTGTGGCAACTTGTTTCTGTCTTCATAACCTTGAAGTGCAGATGAGTAGCTGACTAGATGCTTCAAAGTTTACATGTTAGCAGGAGACCCCAGGAGTTTGTGCTGCTTGTACACAGTGACTGGTAGTACTCAAACTGGTTTGGTGTTGCACTGGAATAGCTACACAGTCAGGGAGGTAACTGGTGAATTGGTTTGTATTCATTCTATTCTTCACTTCAGGCTAAATCTAAGTTTTGCACAAATTAAGTGGCAGAATTTTTTAAGGGTATACCCAGGCTATTCACAATGTCTTACATGAACCTAAGTGCTGAGGTGCTAAGAGATACATGTAGTCTGCTCTCTTGAGTAGCACAGGCCATAAAATATCACCTTAAATAATCCTGGAGTAAATCAGTAACTTTACGTGGAGAACCAGAATGAGGCAGTACTGGAGTCCTGTGCTAGAGCAGAAACAATTAAAGGAGATTTTTAAAGGGGGTGGTGGCTTGTTAATTTGTACCTGAGTGTCAGAACAGCCAGTAGAAGATTTTTTTTAGAGGAAGTTTTTCTACACCACTATAGTTACCCAAATGGGTTGGCTCAGTGGAATATTCAGAAGACTTGTATAGAGGCTTCCAAAGGGTGAGGTTACTTACTCCACCAGGTAATTCTGAATAAGAATGAACATGGGTTGGGGCAATCCCAAGCACAAACACAGGCTGGGTGGAGAACGGACTGAGAGCAGCCCTGAGGAGAAGGGCTTGGGGGTGCTGGTTGATGAGAAGTTCAGTGTGACCTGGCAAAGGGCACTCAGCCCAGAAAGCCAACCCTATCCTGGGCTGCATCAAAAGAAGCGTGGCCAGCAGGTTGAGGGAGGTGATTCTGCCCTTCTGCTTCCATGAGACCCCACCTGGAGCACTGTGCCAGCTCTAGAGTCCTCAGCACAAGAAAGACTGCTGGAGGAGGTCCAGAGGAGGGCCACAAAAATGATGTGAGGGCTGGAGCACCTCCCCTGTGGGGCCAGGCTCAGAGAGCTGGGGTGGTTCAGTCTGGAGAAGAGAAGGCTTTGGGGGGACCTTATTTGCAGCCTTCCAGTATCTCAAGGGGCCTGCAAGAAACTGGGGGGGGGGGGGAAACAGAGTTTTTACAAGGGTCTGTAGTGGTAAGATGAGGGGTAATGGGTTCAGACTGAAAGAAGAGATTTAGATCAGATGTAAGGAAGAAGTTCTTCACTGGGAAGGGCTCCATCACTGGAGATGCTCGAGGCCTGGCTGGATGGGGCTTTGAGCAACCTGGGACACTAGGTTGGGACACCTCCCTGCACATGACAGGGAGGCTGGAACTAGATGATCTTTAAGGTTCCTTCCAACCCAAACCACTTTGTGATTCTATACTGAACCAAATAATTCACTGAGGTAGCTAGAAGAGATGTGTACATTTCAGAGCTTATTGTACAGAGAGTTGTTACTCTACTGCACTGAAAAATGTCCATGTCTCTAAACATCTATTTTTATTACACTTTTTCTATCACTTCACAAAAAAAAACCTTAATTGCAGGAAGCATCTAGGTATGATATCTGAGACTGCTGGTATAGTTCTTAGTGAGAAGATAACACAGGAACAAATGCTATTAAACCAAAGAAACTCCAATCTTGTTAAGTAACTTGAATTCTCTGTAATAGTCTTTATGAGTTTTGTGGTGTGTGTTCACTAGAAACTATGGGAGGAGGAAATGTAGGAGTCCTTCTGTGACTAAAGGGTTCAGATACAGGGGAATGTGGAGAAAACATCGTGAAGAACCCAAATACCTACACACTGCAGAAAGATACGAGACGAACAACTAGGAGTAGAATTTCTCTGTACAAATGGAACTTCCAACACATACTCCTGCGTCTGCAAATGTCTTGAGATGCTTTTCAGTTTCAGCAGGGAAACTTCTCAGTGGTTAGTCCATAAACATATATAATTTGAGATGAATCCAACTAACCTGCTAGTACTCACCCAAGGCCTATGCTGAAAACCTTGGCCACGGCCATCCTGCTCTGAGTGTTGTGTGGAGCCTGTCCCAGGGAGGTGAGTGCTGCTTTCCACCCTGCTGCACCTGGGCTGCTCCATCCTTTCCCCTTCAGAACTTCCCTGTGCCACTCCTGCTTCAGAGCATCAGGTCCTACGTTACTGTTCCCCTGCTAATTTACCCTGTTTTCTGCTCCTCCAGCTAGCTTACAGATAACTGCATTGTGCTGGCTTCATTGCAAGCAGGGCTTAGGTGCTGTTCAGCTCTTCAGGTCTGTGCTGTCAGCACACCACACTTACCCAGCAGCTAAGTACAGCTGGTAAAATTTCAGCCTAGAAATGTAGTTGATCCATTTTGTGAAACAGGTCAGATTTTTAAATTTCTCCTGAAGCAGCTGGGCATCCACAGTACTGTCTTTAATCCTACCAATTGTTCCCTTTTACTTACAGAACTTGTTTCGTATGGATTGCATTTAAAGAGAACACTCGTTGTCTGCATTTGGATCTTTTTTCAAACGTCGTGATGCTATACTTGGAAAACAACTCTTTTTTTTTAATAGAACAAAGCCCTCTCATGGTTAAATGTGGGATAACCTCATTTATTTAGGTTAACATCTGGTAATAAACTAATCTTAGAGAAAAATAACATCCATATGTTCAGTTGTGCATAGTTGCATACATGGAGTTTGCTTCAGACGAAGAATTGGCAAGTTAGCTGTCAAACTTTAGACTTATTAGGTTAAATTCCTTTAAAAATAAAAATTAACAGGTTG